ATCAACTTGTCGTCGTTTTTCAATGGAGTTGATCAGCGAGTTGACAAACACCATTCAGTTGGTTGTTGAAGAGCGTTTCCTCACGAAGCCGTGCTGATGTTCGGTAATTATTGGCCTAACCGCTTGATATACGACCTCATATACGATCTTCTCCAGAGCTTTTGGGAGACAGCTTAGAATCGAAATTCCGCGATAATTTTCAACGTTGTGAATGTTTCCAGCTTTGTGAATAGGTGTGATGGACGCAACCTTCCACATTGTGCGGAAAACACCACTAACTAGCGAACGATTGAAGATAATCGACACAGGTGAAGCGAGCGATGCAGAAAATTTCTTAATGAACGATGGCGGCAAACAGTCTGGACCAGCGCCTTTAGAAGGATCTACAGATGAAAGAACTTTCATCACCAACTGCGGCAAATGCAAGTTGTAATGAGCTATGCTGCTCATCCAGTCACGACGATCATCCGGAGAATGAGCGGGAGGGGTAGTCGAAAAAACATCCTTGAAGAATTTTGCGAAGAGATCAGAAGCTTTTTCCGCGGAGTCAGCACGAGCTTCTTAATAGGACGCATCGAGTGGTATACCGCCATTCCGCCTAAGTTTCTTCACGTAGGTCCAAAAAGACGATGGATCCCGCTTTGACCGGTTGTATGACCCTGTTGTTGGAAGGAGTTTCTCATTTATCCCGTGGAAACACGTGGGCGATGTTGCCCACGGATTTACCCAAACCGTTTTTGGCCCTTCATACAATGGCAGGTTGAGTACACTTAGAGGTTATTAAACTTGATCAAGTCAAACAGCAAGGATAGGCCACAGTCTACCGAAAGTTGTTTTGCTACAATGAGTGGTAGTTCCACATGTTCATCATATCATCGTAAAGTACTTAGTCCTCCGACACACCTCTAATACATAAACTTGACGATAAAGTGGAATAAATATTGCAACAAAAGCGATGCATTTCAATAAAATATTTAAGGATCAAATAAAATAACTATATGAATCAATTGTTTAGGTTTGTTTTCTTCTGTTCGGGACATAACACTACTTCGACCAGAAATTTGATCTATTGTAGTATATCCCGTGTCCTTAGTTTAGTGCATGTCGTATTACTCCATCACTATTGAGAAATGATGAAGTATTCGGTTTTCATACAGTTGTCATTCTTGCCTTCATCGCAAGGAATCGATTCTAATTGAAAGGTTCTGCTATTTATACCCTTCGGAGTTGGAACACCCTTCAAAGGTGCGCCCCTTTCCCGAGCAAAGTCTGAGATCAAATTGAAATCTAAATTTGATGTTGTGATTTCGCTGATAATGATTACTCAGGTTGTTGTCGTTTTGGCCATTTTAACGGTTAAAATATCAAAATTGAGAGCAAACATATCTTCCTGTGACATCACATTGAAAACTATTTCTGCTATCAGTGAGAGCAAACTGAAAACCAAATTTGCTATCCATTTTTCCATAAGTATTCAATTTGATGTTATGCTAAGGCAATGAAAACAAACCCGTAACAACATATTTTTAAAGAGCAAATGTAGAGCAAAATGAAAACAAAATTTGGTATCAAATTTGTCAATGTCTAAACTGAAATCAAATTATGATTTCAGTTTGATGTTGATATCAAAACTTGATTTCAATTTGCTGTCATTTTGATGCTGGACTTTGCTCGGGTTGTCAGTCAAAATTGGATTCCTTAACAACAAAATTAAGGAATGACACCGATAATGACCATGCATCAGAACCCTAGTCTTAACCACTTCAAACTACGAACAACGATTAGAAGATTTGGAATCACATAGATGAAGACAACTAACTCATTTTTTTCCTTCTTTCGAGATCATCCTCGGTAGACAAAGCCGAGTCTTGTCACTATCAACAAGGCATAAAAAGTAACAAGGACTAAGATGTGTTCCTTTGATAACTGAAAAATCCTTTTCCCCTTGTTTGAAGAAGTCAGGACTAGGAATCGGTTAAGATCTACCACCGATTCCTAGTCCTGACATCCCGTAACGTACCACGAAAAGTTGATCTACCCACGTTACGGGGCTTTGTTTAGGTTGATAAATAATCTAATATTGCATAAAATGGTAGATCTCCATGAAAATTTGTGAGCGATTAACATCTACAACCGATTTGCGACCACCGTGCAACTAGGCAGAACATGTCGTTGCCGTTAAATCAGTTCGGTGTATTCCGGAGATAAGCTTCTGCCAGCGTTCTGGGGCTTCCTCAGCTCAGTCGGTAAAGGCGCAGCTACAAAGCAAGGCTATGCTAGAGGTGGATTGGGATCGATTCCCGGTCCAGTCGAGGATTTTTTGGGATGGAAAATTTCTCGACTTCCCTGGGCATAGACACACAATTATTCGAATGCAGAAATGGTACAGGCATCGAAAGCTCTCAATTTTGAAACTGTGGAAGTGCATCTAGAACTCTAAGTCGAGAGCACGCAATAAGTCAATAAGCTTGAAATGCGTTGAAGAAGAGACGAAGAAGAAGAAGAAGAAGTATTTATAATGGCCAGGTAACTTCCTCAACTTTATAATTAATTGGTCACGCTACCGACTTTTGTCGCTGCAACTTCAAAACCAGATTATTATATTCTAATAAAATTTTCCTTAGGCCTCTTTCAGTAATGCCAATTGAAATTCGACTGTGGAGCATTCTATTAGAATTTCTATACGCTTTCGTGGATAAAAATAAAAGGAGAAATCCATCAGTTTCGACTTGATTAAACGGCTTGTCTACCAACTCAACTAAAATATAAAAACCAATAATTGAATTATCAATTGTACTCGTTCTCATATAATATGATCAAACTAAACCATACCAAAGGGAAACCAATATGCTGTACAACAAGATATAAACATCAGAAATCCATTAGATATGGCAAAAAACCTGAAAAATGTGATTTTGGATTGCTGCTCGCAGCGTTAAACTGCTTTTTGTGCGTCTACAGTGAACCTATCAATTGCTTCAACAAAAACCGAATTTAAACAGCTGAGTTGAAAGTAATTTATTATTTACGACAGTACCTGAACTACTCAATTTAATATCGCGTAAAATATTTCATTGGCAGTAACTTACATTGCCAAATTACAAAAAAAAAACATAAATTATTTAAACTACTTTATACAGAATCACGTAAATCACGCGTTAACCAAGATTGTAAAATTTAAACATAATAACACAACATAATTAACTTTACATATAACCAATTAGTGTATAGCAGATGCGAACCAGCCAAAGGCTGAAAACCTCTTTAGTAAAGAAAACTAACTAAACAATTAGTGTAAGAATATTTAATAGATTTTCAAAAAGAAAATATGCGAAATCTGTAAAAAATCAATTCGATAAAATTAATCGTTAGTGCTTTCAGAGAATTTCAGAATCATGTCATTACGTTTATCGAATTTTTCGTGTATAATCACAAAATATTATATAAATAAATAATTGCCCAATCATACATATGAAAGCTTAAATTTCGGACATAATGCACCAAAACTGATCCCGAATCAACTATCCAGGATGGATGAGGATGAGCTGCGCAATTTGGGCCAACTTTGTAGCAATCGTATTGAGAAACAAATCATTTTCAATTGCACAAGCTTATCCTTGTTGCAACCAATCGGGTTCATTCTGCCGTACGCATGGGAAAAAAAGAAGAATATGTGTACCTATATAGTGACGTGCGATTACGTCGCTTTATCGTTCATAGCTGACGATAGCCAGCTGCCTGCCAGCCGCCAGCCAACCAGTCAGCTAGCCAGCAACGGAAGAAATCGATAACTATCGTTTATCAAAGCACAAGAAAGGCACACTCCGCTTTGCACTCGTAGATTGATAGAGCCCCAGCTACAGTAACAATCCCATACTTTTCATCTGTTTTCGCTGTTTCCCTTGTTTCCAACGAGCTAGAGCTTATTGTATTGACTTTTCATTTTCCACGGATCCTTGAGCAATAAGAAGCACTTGCAGCTATGCTTATTGCTGGCTTCAGATCGATGTATCAGTGTTTTTTTTTTTTTAATTTGTTTGGTTAGCACCGATGCACAGAATTCTACCTTGAATTGAGATGGAAAAGAATTGCTCTGATGTCTGATTGCAGCATATTTCAAACACTTTGCGACAACAGCGTATTATGAACTTTCGCTTTTGAAGAGTGCTCATTTGCAAATCATCAAATAACGCCCATGTATATTTAAAGCACTCTTCATCATCCCAACTGTCTGAGAAAATCAAGTGCAAAATCCTCTCCTGTCGACGATTGGTGTGTGGCCAAGGCGTATTTCGTGTAGGCAGCACCAAACAGCAATTTTTCGTTCTGTCGGAACTCAATGAGAAATCCGTGGGCTCCGCATCTCATTGATCAGTTTCACCCAAGGGCAACAAACGTGAACTCTTTTAGCTGAAATTTCTTTCGAACCATCACGTGAGGACGGGAATGTGATTTGTGGCAGTATCCTAAAGAAAAGTTTGGCCGATAGGTCTTGTAGCATGCTTAACTTGATTTTTTTTTCTGTCTTCTCGTTGCTCTCTGAAAATTCAGTAAAGCTAAAAGTCAAACTCATGCCCGCTTCCAGTAAAGTGGAATAGAGAAAAATTACATAACTTTGTCGTTAGCCTTTTTGTTACGGCAAGCTTGACTATCAATAATAAATACACAATTGTCAACCGTTGAAATGGATATTCTCCTATTGGACGGGAAAATCTGCGTGTAAAATACTTTCAAAATAATTAGCTCCCAACGGGACGACTCCAGTGCGGGGGAGTATCAATCGATGGCAATTCTCAAATGTGCGAGAGCTACACATTTCATACCGGGATTAGCTTCAAAGTGCGTAAAATAGGTCCCTGTCAACCCTGACGTACTAAGCGATTTGATTTCTTTTTGTTTCAACAGATCAATAAAATCCAATCAAATTGTCGTAAAAAGAAGAAGCGTTTTATAAAGAAAATCTAATCAATATTACAGATTTTTCCCAATTTCCAACTTACCTGTCTCTAAGTCTGATTCTGTTGTCGTTCGTAGATGGGGATGCTTGTGTCCGAAGATTCTCGTCACCATGGTGGTTGCAGCCTCTGCTAGTTTCTCATCGGCTTCGGGTTCAGCCTCTCTCTTCCATATTTTATTAGTACCCGGAGCCATTTTGGATTTTTTTTCGCTGCAGAAAGCACACATCACATGAATTAATTAATGTGAGATTTTTGCTCAGTTTCCAACATTGCCCAACCGAACAGCCAATTTCCGTTTTTCACCACATCCATTTGTCTGATTAATGAGCTTTGTCGATCACCTATTGCCTTAAGAGCCACCGAATAATTAATTGACCTATATGGGCCAGAGCCCTAATTATCCAAATCACACGGAATCCCAATTTTCTTCACGTTAAGATTACCATCCAGATTCGATTTTTTCCCAGTGCCTATTTCGAAAGCTCAAAAACCAGACACTTATGGCTTTTCCTCAGAATGAATCCATGAAAAATCAAAATCCCGTACCAATTTCGCTGCTGCAGCTGCGAAGGTTTCTGCTACTAACAGGACAAAACTAGTCGTCCAGTGCTATTTTTCTTCAATTATTATAACTTTTAAAACTCGGTACACGGGATCCGGGAAAATCCTCCTCAACAACAACTGCCCGCACAATTCATTTTTCAATCTAATCAGCACCACACAGTCGTGCAAATTCGATTGCAACTGCACTTGGACATTCGATCGAGATACTACTAATGCTGCACAAAATTTTCCAGCCTCTGACGGGGAACAGAAAAATTTTCACACCATGCCAAGATGGTAGCTTTTTCAAGTGAGTAAGAAAATCGATTGAGGAGTGAGCGAAAACCGACCAGAGCCAGAGCTCCAAAAAAGTTCGCTTGGACAAGTGATGGAACGGAACAAGGAGCGAAGCATGCGCAGATCGCAGGATGCGTACGCAAGCTTCCAAGTTTTTGACACGGGCTGTTTTTCTTTTTCCCTGTCGGCTGCCTATCACCCGGGTGCGGCGGTTGCGAAGTCAGGGCGCGCGGGGAGGGAAATGTTGTCAAAAATAGACAACGGAGCTTTCCGCACTCGTGGGAGCAAACGTGAAACACGGGGAATGAATGAGCGAAAGCCAACATCATAGGAAAAGTATGAATGAAAGCTGTGCGGTTGCTGCCACTGACAGGTGTTTGGGTTAGTCCTGATAGACCGAACTGCCAAAGGATGACGTTGCTGAAAGCTACCGTGACATTACCGGACGTGACTTTTCTGGCCGCGAAATGGGGTTGTTAATGGGAATTTTGAGCGTTAACATACCAAGCTGAAGTTCCTTTCGGGATAAAACGATTCTTCTTCTTAATTCCATTATGCATGTTCTGCCATCGAGTGCCAATCTCCGTCGGACATCGATTGTCATCGGCAGCCTCCACACCTGGGTATATCAACAAATTCCGAAGGAAGACGTGACCGTGACTCAAAACAATCACGGTTACCCATACACCACTGGCGTCGGGGTTGGGAAAAATCACCAAGCTCCCACACTGAAATCGAAAATTTAATGTTTAGACAATTCTAGTGTTTGAATCATAACTGACGGATTTCACGCCAACTCGTCTTCGGAGTTGGCAGCACCCTCTCAGAACCTTATGAAACTTTGTGGGTGTGGAGACTTAGCAATTTTAAGCAACTTTGCGTACTTATTTTTTTCAAAATTTATCTCGCCTAACATTTGATAAGGGTCAAAGTTTTTTGTCGATTTTTTTTTCAAATCGATATAGCTTAAAAATGACAAGCCCTACAAAATAGTGATGTATGGCGAACTTTTAGCAAATAATCTGAAATTTTATAAAAAAATTTAAATAAAATAAAAAATCGGTTTGTACACTCTAAAAAAATATATTTAAAAATTAAAAGTCATTTTCCCAAAAATGGTACCCCTCAGATTTGCTTGATATTTTTTCTCATGAAAGGCAATATAATTACCTAACTTTTCTTCATACATCGCAAAGTGGGCGCTTTTAAGGAAAAAAAGTTGTTCGAACAACAACTTTTTCATGTTAATTTTTTTTTAGCGTGTTTCACTCAAAGTCGAATAGTAATACGCGCACAACCTTATTAAAATCCGTTGAAACTTAATGAGCATAAAGATTTTGACCTTTTGATAATCTGGGCGTGCTTAAAACAAAAATCTAGCCTAACATTTGAAAGGGCCTAATACAGAGGATTTTCCTGCATTTCGAATGGTGTTTTAATAAATGAAAACTCTAGTGTTTTTGTTTAGTGCATAATTTATTTTCCTATAATTCTCCATACATAATTTGAGTTTTTCATTGATTATTAGTCTATCGGAAACAGAGTGAAATTTTTCGGAGTTTCCTTTGAATGTGAAAATCGCTTAGTAGAAATTATGTTTTGAGAAATAGGTACAAAACAATGAAATTTTTGTGTACCAGGTATAGTTTTTACATGACTGAACAGCTCCTTGAGTTCATCGGACATCTTTGTGTATTGATCATTTGATATGAAGCAGAAGTTCAATTTTGTTATGCTTGTATCTGTTTGTTTAACTGCCCAGTCATACAGTTCTTGTGGAGTTGTGATTGTGTTTCCATAATCTCGAGCAAGACTTGCTCTCTTTGCCATTCGTTTGAGAGTTCCTCCAATTGCGTCACATGGGCCTTTCCCATGAGACGTTGCGAAGAAGTGCCATTCTGCTTCCAATCCATACTTGGACTTGAAGTTGCACAAACTGGCAAAATTCTTTTTATTTTTGTAATGAGCCGCTGCTCCATCTGACATGAAAGTAATTTTTGTGAAACTAATAGATTGTTTAATGAAATCTAACAATTTTGATATAAATAATTGAACTGCTATTGTATCATGAGTCAATACTTCTGAAATAATAATAAAGCTTAAATTTTCCAACTTGTTTTCTTTTATGTAGTAAATTTCGAAAGGATGTATCGTAGCTTGATTATTGTTCCAATGATACCCCTGTGCTGAGTTTTGAATAATAAATGAATAATTTTCAGAAAAGTCGCAAATCACTAAAATTTCACCGTTTTGAAGAGAATTTTTTTTATTACTTAGGTAAGATGATTGCTCTTTATGAATAAAATCATGGGTTATGAGCTTTTCAACTTTTTCCGTCAAATATTGAACAAACTCATCTGCAGGTTTAATAATAGTTTCCAAATTACAACGGTCGGTAGTCAACCACTGTTGAAATAAAACTTCTTCCATATCATCTGCTTCTAATACTGATGTAAGTTCCCTCACGATACTATCTGTGGAAATGCATTCTTCACATGTACGATAAAAACAATCTATGGTTCTAATAGGACTACTGCAAAGTATTTTGTCTGCAATTTCTTTATATGAATCAAATTTTACACTATTAATAATCAATTTAACATTTTCATGTATAGTACAGACACATACATTATGTGTACCTGTACTATCCAACAGTATGCAATGCTTTGGTCGGAGCTGAGTGAACGAAGTAAATCCGATTTTAACACTTTTGTATTTCTCTTCAAAAATCATAAAAGCCTCTTTAAGAGACATCATCAATAAACGTTTCTGAACATGCTCTTTATATCCATTTCGATATTCAGAAACATAATCATTACTTCCTGGCATAGGCCTACTAATATCATCACTGTCAAAGAAATTTAAAACAATTTGTTTTTCAGTATCATTAAATCCATGACCACTTCTTGCTTTCTTACTACAAAGAATACCTTGTTCTCTGACTAGCCTTTTCATCTGTTTCACTGTATGATGGGGTGCATTAAACTCATTAACTATTTGATTCACTGACCATGATTTAGGGAGCACTGATAACACTTTTAATCACAAACGAAGTTACAGACGGAGCGGCTCGAAATTTGATTTGACGCACTTACATTTGAAATTTTCGAGTGTACCTCACGGCAACACTATCTACTCATATGTACTAGCTTAAAGTAGGGGGTACCGTATGTTATCTCTTTTTCTCTAACGGAAATTGAAAGGGAGAGCCTGTTGTCAAACAGCATGTCATTATGACGTTTAGTTGTTATCTGCTTTTCTTTTGTATAATAAAAGATCATAGGCCAAAATGATTAGGAGTGAACACATCGGGTTAACATTTGCTTACAAGTAAACGATGTTGAGCTGTCAATGACTCGCGCTTGTTGCCATTTTTGCTACAGATTTCTTCAGTCCGTGCTTCTAACCAAAGTCATTCGCTCCTTCGTACACGGTAACCGCAAAATACCCAATAATGACTACAAAGTAAGCATTTTCGAGGGAGACTGGTACTACCTATTAAATGAGTAATCATATTACCCATTTATTAGTATTTGTTATTCAAAAATGAATACTTACTACTTGTTTTTGTAGTTGTAATTACTCATAAATTGGTAAAATTTAAATCGTTTAATGGGTAGTCCCAGTTTCCCTCGAAAATGCTTACTTCGTAGTCATTATTGGGTATTTTGCGGTTACCGTGTAGCGCAACTGTTGACGGTCTTCGGGGAGTCGGAGGATGGTGATAGGAAGGAGGACCTACTGCATTTGCAGGCATTGCTGGAAACACTGAGGTACCTGATTGGAGTGTGTCGCGAGCCGGTGGATGGAATTCAATGGCGCTTTGTGCTTAGAATTTATAATTTGGCGGTGAAATTCAGTGGGAAGGTGGTAAGTTTAGTTCAGGCATAACATTTGATAACGGCACAAAAGCATTTGTAAACAAACTTTCTAAGGCCCTTTACACGCGAACCAAAGTACGTCCACGCAAACCAACATCATCGGATAGGGGCAACGGGGCAACTATCACCTTTCCGAAAGTGGTATTGGTTTGCGTGGGCGTACTTTGGTTCGCGTGTAAAGGGCCTTAGAAAGTTTGTTTACAAATGCTTTTGTGCCGTTATCAAATGTTATGCCTGAGTTTATTTTGTTTAGAAGGATTCTGTGCAATATATCTTACTTTTTCAGGATAAACGACACATATTAGTGCAATGCGCTTGCTTGCTGGAAGATTGCCATTGGGCGGAAGAGCACACGGAGCTGTTGCTAAGGGTTAGCCGGGTGGTGCTCAAGGCGATATACGATGCACATACAAGCAAACGGATCAGCAAAAGTTTATTTTGTCTGGATTGGATGTGATCTGCTCCACCACAATTCGATAGTTGCGGCATTGGTCCGAGTCTGACGAGTTTGTGATCCGGGCGAAAGCAGTAGGGATCTACAATGATGTGTTCGATAACTTAACGGCGCTGCTGTATCGACTGTTCAGTGTGTATCAGAAACTTTTCGTATCAGTGATATATAGAGAAGTTTAGCGAGATGGAAATGGCAGAATTATTCAACAAGAGTTTGCCTAATGGATATAATTCTTAGCTTGGGTGAGGCTTCCAAGCAGTACATACAATTAGTGGAGATTCTTAGTAGGGTTAACTACCCTCTTTCCACCCTATTAAGCACAACACGCACTCAGTCTTTCTTAATCTAGCACAGTTTAGCATCAAACTAAATGTTATTATTACTGATGACTTCCAAATTTATTTACCTTTTTGTACGTACCGTAAGATTTAATAAAGAGAAACCAATCGTTGAGATATTGACAAAAGTCTAACACTGCTTCTTGATGCCAAACTCGGCCTACGGATTCTAAACTCGGCCTAACGCATTGAAACGCCAATGAATTCACTTCGGCCTATCGGATGAAGATAAAAAATTGATTCTGTCGGAGCGCTTCTTTTGTTTTTGGGAATAATGGGTGCAAACCTTCATACCACGCGTTCTCATTGACTTCGTTCGGTAGCTTATTAACTAAAGTATCGTACCAAACCCATAATTGACTTG